ATCGAAAAAATCTATGTAGACCATCATTGAAGTGTGCTATCTAACGTTTTATCGGTAACTTATCGTGGATATTATTATTTGTAAAATATTTTCAAAAATCAACTTATTATAGTCCTTCGACTTGTACAATATATTTATCAGTGTCTATAGCAGATTTTGTGTCCGTTTAAAAACCGATAAAGACTCAATTGAAAACTTCAGTTGAAACTAGAAAACGATGATACTCAAAAAAGAGAACTTTTATAAAGGAAAAAAAAGATAGAAGATGAAAAGAATTAAATAAATATATTTATATATAAATGAAAAGGATTTCCATGTGAATCTTTTATTCACTCGCATTCTATTTTATTTTTCTTTACTTTCTGTTAAAAAGTGTACGTATAAGATTACTACAATAAAAAAATGGGAAATATTAGTTCACATATGACAAAAGGATTCATGTTTACCATCGATGTTTGTAAACTTATGAAAAACATGGCATATTCTTTCCAACTTATTTAAAACTCATTTTATTTATGATTTTTCGTTTATGGGTAATAATTTAAATATGAAAATCATTGATTTAACAACAGCTTTAAATATAATTTCTTTTTTTTAAGAGTTTATTTTATTCAACTAACTTTATTACTGAATAAGAAAATTTATGCTGACGTTTCGACTACTTTAAGAGCCATTATCAAGACGAAAGAGTATAAGAAAAAAGGCTGTCGGTGTGGGTGTAGGGTGTGAGTGGATGTGCGTGTGCATGTGGACCTTCCATTCTCCAACACCCACACCTACCAACACTGACTTCGTATATAATATTGATTAATCCAAAATCTGTGAGACAATCACCAATACTACTACAATGATGAAGGCATAGATAGGTGGCTTCATAATCACATTTTAATAACAACACACACTGCAGTGATGCATAAGATCAGGAATACTTTGACGACAACTAACCTTTTGTTGCATTTCTATGATTTATCAATTCTATGTAGATCTAGTTTATATTATGTTTGTCATATTCAGATCATTAGAACAGAATCTATATATACAACTAAAATCAAACCATCTGATAAGATTCTTAAGGAAGGTCGAAATGCGGTACGGTTAGGAGTGTCATGTTTCTATTTCTAAGAAACCCGAATATCCAGCAGAAACTTGTTTTCTAGTATTCGTGAGCATTTTCATATACTTATCATTTGTGCTTGGAGTTCAGGGACAAAGCCAGCATGGTTTTCCAGGTTTCTTTTCAAAAAAGAATTCGGAAACACTCTTCTCTACTTAAGTTCTACCATGTTCAAGAAGATGGTTCTGAAAGGTTCTAAAAGTTTCAAGAAGGTGATTCTGGATAGTTCCAGAAGGTTCTAAGAGAGTTTCCGGAAACAGAAACTCGAAAGAGACACTCCTAGTCACGGTGTGCTTGGCTCACCCTCACATAAGAGTGTGACTGAAGTCACAAGACTGATCATAATGCCTCCGCTCGTCAAACAGTTCGTACAGAATGTGACTGAAATTCCAGTTTATATTGACGAACTCCTGACAGAGGAGCAAACATGCGAAATGTCGACTAAGAATACCACTAACAATTGTTCGAAAGATGAGCCATTTATCGCTATAGAGAATTTCTTCATCAAAACTGTTAGTAGTTAGCGTGGTTATGGTATTATAATATAGCAAATAAAGAACAAGAGATGTCTGCGCTCGGCTTGACATCGTCTTGTTTCTGGAATACATTATTTAAGCGTGTATAAAAATATGCAGCTGGACTAAAAAACTATAAGAGCAAATCGTGATTATTAATGATTGTGGTTTACAATGTTCATGATAAGTTTAGAGTGATACCGAGCACTCCATGAAACTGGGGTTGAAGGATTGAAAGGGAAAAGTGTCTGGCATTCGATGCCGCTCGTCGATTTTCTCTATACGCTCTGATAGTTGTTGCTTGAACAAATAATAATTGTCAAGATGAGATTTAACGTGTTCTTCAGTCATAGCCGAGAGCGGCTTGCCTTCTTGACTGTCAGTAGCAACGCGCGGAATGAGATGGCTCCAATCGTCCATCAGACCTGGCATCCTCATGGCAGTCAGTACAGTCAAAACGAGCATTAGACTGTAATTCTGCACGGATGGAAGCAAAGACGGTAGGTCTCGCCTTAGTTTGGTACCAATGAAACTAGGATCAAAAAGGTAATCGGCGACATGTCCAACGTGCTCGTGAATGCCGGTACATGCACAAATCAGTTGCGTGATCACATCAATTAGATGAGTGCGACTAGGGATGCCATTCAGTCCCAATGGTTTGCACAACTCAGAGATAAATCGACGTTCACAAGGTTCGACCATAAACGCGCGTTCTGAAGTTATCTTGCCTTTCTTCTCGTCCTCTGTCGATTCCTCTTTGCCGTATTCGATCTCAAAGAATCGTCTTACATAATCACGCACAATTTTCCAGAATGCGGGCAAGTCTTCTGCAATAGGATAATGTTTGACCCATTCAGATTGATTTTCATCGGACAGTTCATTTGTTTCACTGGGTTTGTTGCTGTAATTATGAAGTTCAACGGAATCTATCAGGTTGTATCCACACTTTGGACACTTCTTCCTTACTGCATAGCTGTCTCTATCTTCTTTCGCATGTATATTCTTACATCGTTGATTGGTTGACCCAGTTTGCAACTGTCGATTCTGCTCCAGTTTCATGTTATCAGCAATCCAGTCAGGCATGATACGGAATCGGTAATGAGCAATGACATAGTCACATAGCTTCAGAAACTCATCGAACTCGAATCCCCAGATTCTGTGACAGAGGCCACCCTGGCTAACCAGCGAGGTCGCAGCCGAATAGTTGATGGTCACAGTGCGATAGGTGAATGGTTTGAGGAAGACACGTAAAGGATGAGCTTCAGGAAGGAATTGCCGTGATACATTTGTCAGTGTGTTGGCCTCGATGAAGTGCGTGGTCAGAAGATGGTCGCGTACGGTCACCATGGCTAAGGCCGACGATCGCCACATATATTTGGCATAGGTCCAATCGTTGTCAAGGCTACATGAGTTGCTCAAAGGCATGACTAGTTCATTACGATGAGAAAGGTAAATACCAATCAAGCGGCGCTCATCATCGAAGTAGGCCGCAGCACCGTAGCGATCGAAAGGAGCTCGAACAGTAAATAATGACAGAGCGGTCATGTCATTCACGTAGTGGGCCAATTTGAGTATTGGATGCGTGAGAGTCGCCGTGTGCAATTCCATACTTTCTACGCCAAAGTCAAGCTTCCGAGTATGATGGCAGGCCAGGCCAAAGAAGGCGAAGCGACTCATGAGTTCGTCACTATCGCCATACCATCGTGGATTGTTTGGTGTAGGCATCGAAGAG